ATTAATTAACATATTAAAATATTCTATTTTTTTAATTTGGATAGAGGAAAAAGGTTGAGAAGAATGCCGTCTTGGGAGTGGATATCACGTCTACGATTTCATATCCCTAAATCTTGGTATTCAGATATAAAACCATTTCTTGGTTTTCACATTTCTTTTTTAATTTATTTATATATATTACAAATTAAACTTACAAAATAAATAATATAAAAAACAATTTAAAAATGAATTAAAAAATAATTTTATTTTATAATCTAAATCAGCAACATTATGGATTTATTTTAACAACACTACTAGACAAAAACTTTACAAACTTAAAAAAAAAATCATAACATACAAAAAGTATACCGTGATACATTTAATGTATGATTTTGATAATTACACGTAATTTTATTATATTGTAGTAAATGGATAAATATTGATATAAAATAGAGAAGAAAGCGAAATTGACAACACACCAAATCCAAAAAGAAAAGCAAACAAATACTTGGCCATGAATGGAATCCACAAAAGGAAGCTTTCAAGAAACCATGAAAACCCAAAATGATGAAAGAGGCACATATATGATTGAGTCACCCTAAAGTGTGTTTCCGCGTTATTTCCCGTAGTATTTTGGGGATTATATTGTATCGTGTCTTTTTGGATTTGATATTTGATATATGGTTGATATGAGATGTCAAGAGACAGTAAACCGATTAGACAACATTTTGTATCTGTCGGCTTTACATCAAGACAAATAAATGTATGATGTAGTCCAAAATTACATACTTGTCTTGAAAAAAAAATAGCTGATGTATGTTTGTAACTCCTTACATTAATGTAACATCCCAAAATTTCGAATACTTAAATATATCAAAACTAGTATCCCAAGATCAAAACTTACATTGCAGCGGAAATAAAATTTCTAATCTTACAATTTATATCACTATCTAAACTTACAATCTTGACGAACATACTTTGCTCGATATAACCGTGCCTTGATCTGCACATGTCATTCTTTGATGCTAA